CAAAAGCAGGGTTAACGTTTGTTTGTTTTTAATTAAAATCTACTGTGTTGCAGTAACTAAATTATAACATTTCAACTTTTCCATTCAGGGAAAAGTACAACAGAATGATCAAACAATGATAAACACCAGTAATTAGAAAGCTTTAAAGCAGGACAGGGAAGAACTTTCCCTATTTCTAACCAGAACAAACCTTCGTTTGTGTTGGAAGGTAGAGCAGAAAAGCGGACTAAGGGAGAAGACAGATTGTTGAGACATAAAATTAAGTGAACATGTTGCACATGCAGACTACAAAGCAAGATTAGGTGCAGGTTAATGAAACATTCAAGATAAAGAAGTTTACGGCAGACATTTAACATTTCAGCATATTTTTCTTACAGCACATAGTGAAAGTATCAATGATAATTCTGAGGAAACTTCCAAGTCCATGATGTTCCACATCCTTGTACCTGGATGTCCAGAACCTCTACTTGAGTGACCAGCCATTCTCTTTAATTTTTCACTGGATAGCCCAAACGGCTTAAAAATGACAGACTGAATCCAGGAGGCAATCAAGGTTTTATAAATATCCCTCTCCAACTTCTTCCATGGCTTAGTTCTATAAAGATTAAATTTTATAGACTTAACTTTATGTACGACAGTCAGTCATCACTCTAATTTGTTGTCAAACCTTGGACCAAATGACACAAACCCAACTAACCAAGATATATATACTGAAGAATGAAATTTCAATTTAAGAATAAAAACTTGAATCTAAAAAAAAAATAAAATCAAAGCTATAAACACTTAAATTACAAAATATTTGTATAGCTCTATTTTTTGGAATCTGGCATCAAAAAGAAAAAGAAAAACCACACAGATTTCAGATAGCATTTCTGTAAACATGTGAATAACCATAAAGTAGCTCCTATTCTTGTCCTAAATCAAGAAGGCGGCTCTCAGACAATTAAATTTGTGAAATATAACGTGGCGTATACCAGTATATTTTCTTTGAAAATGATTAGTAGGACACCAAAGAGAACCACAGAAACTGTGAGGGATCTTACATTCCTTTTGGGAAAAAAAAAAAAAAGAAAAAAACAAGAACACCCCAACAACAACATAAATGAAACCCAAACCCTTTCTTTATAACTCTTTACAAAACCTATCCAAGATGTGTATAATGACCTTTAAATATAGAAGAAAAACAAAACTTCAGTCTGAGCTATAGAAAATAACACTATTTCATACATTCTTTTTTCTTTCCTAGAAAAAGTTGAAATAAGAAAGTACCAGTAATCCATATTCAAGCTATTTTTGCCTTTTATGATGCTCAACTTCTGGCACAGCAGGGATTGCCTACATTTTTCATTCCTATGTAAGTAAGAATAACTGCTTTTTAAAATAAAATTCATAATCTAACACAAACATGGTAGATACCACCTGAAACTGGTGACAAAAAAACACAACACTCCCCTACAAGGTGGCCATAACATGCCAATTCAGTGACTTATAGGAAACAATTGCTTTATTTCAGGAGAAGTCTATACGTTGCCAATCAAGTCAAACACATATCTGAGAAATCAAAATCTTTATTCAACAGTGTTAATGCAACCACTTGCAGGTTGATACATTTATTTATCAAGAGAGAGAAAGTCTGTCTGCTCCTGCAAACACCTATTCCAGGAGAATGAGCATATGCAAAACTTTAAATTTGAAGGTGCTACAACAGAACATGATAAAAAATAGAAAAAGATATGAAAATTATCCTGAATAAATGAACCACGTATAAACAAAAAACTCTGAATTTCTACTATCTCATCACATTTTCTGAATGTTCAATCAATCTTTGTATGATTGCTTGCAAGTACATATGTATTTTTCAGTATTATCACTTTTACTATATATGTAGGCAAGCTGGAAGAAATGGTTTGTAGATGCTCATACTCCCCTTTGACTGTTCACTGATACACCAGGTTAGTTCTCTCTCTCCCTCCCCCTCCCACTCTCCATTTTCTGCAACTGCAGTGCAAAAAAATTGTACTAACTACTGCAGTTATTTAAGCAGAATTTCTCAGGAGATCGTTGCTTGTTAAAAAGAAATGAGGTATTAAAAATAGCTCCGAGAATTCAGACAGACACAGGTGCTTCCTATACATACATACATATATATTTGGTTATATATAAAGTGGTAAAACCACTGTTTCTCTACACTGAGCTAAAGTGAATACAGAGATATGACACTCCTCCTTATCAGCAAAACCAAAGTTTTTAGAAGTTCGAAAGACTATTTTATCCTTCCTAGTTAAGAGGATTATTTCTTTCAAAGAACAATCAAAGTGAGGTAGACAAAAAGTGGGAAGAGAATTATTGATAACAGAAGCCTTCAAAGGAGCAGATTAAGAAGCCTCTCTTGCAGTCACCAAAAGGAAATCAGTAAATAGATCCTTACAAATACCTGTGAAATAGGAAGAACCTGCAAGATAACTGTAGACTAACTTCAATAGTGTTTTGTTTTTTTTCCATAATGCCTGTAGGTTCCTTCACATTTCAACCCCAGGTAAGTTTTAAAAAATGAATACGAAACTAACTCAACAAATATTTGAGTTTGGCTGACTGGATTTTCAGTTGTTTTTCTTCTTATTTCTTTTGCTACAGAATGGGGGGAGGAGGAGAGGTGGAAGAACACACTTTCTACAGTTTTCAAAATCCACAAATACTTGAACAAAAGTATTAAGAGTCGTAAAACCTTCTTTGATTTCATAAAAATCAAAATAATTGTCCCTGTAACTTATAAAATCACACATACTAATCTTTCTACTTAGGTATGTCCAAGTACTAAAGAAAACTAAGTATCAGCTACTAAAACAAATTTTGAAACATAAGATATGCTGTTATAAGTATTTCTCAAAATTAAATAAACTTCAAAATACATTAGTCATTAAAAATGTAAACTGAAATTTTGTATAACAAAGTTATAGAAGCATACAACAGTAAACCACTGCAGGTGCCAGAGATTTTAATATACACAGTGGTTTGGCAATAGCTAAAGACCATAAAATTAAAAAGCATATCACTTCCTAGAAGTATACACACAGTAATTATTATTATTATTATTATTATTATTTTTTAAAGTCAATATTAACAAAGAAACCAATTTGTTGTGACTTCCTGGGATTTTCCTCTGGGTCATAACAAGTCTTCAAACATAGCATATGTACTAACAAAAGCCCCACAAATAAAAACATCAAGGAGCCATGCATTCGATATGTAGAAAGTTACCCTAATGCAGTTGAATATATCCTTACTGTGTCTTCTTTACTAACTTCAAAGACTCATTTCTGGAACACAAATTCCTCAAGAGGGAATCTAGTCTTTCAGATTCTGTATCAATAAAATAATTTGGTCTGCATAAATAATACTGCTGTTCATTTTTTTAAAGTATATTTTAAACACCAACAAGCATAGTAAGTTCCTACGAGCTTCAATTGATATTATGTCAGTTATTAGAAAACATTTTTATAATCCGCATCAATGTTCAGTAACTTTATAAAACTTACAATTTCCTTTGTGTTGTTGAAAATACTCTTAAATTTAAATAAGATTAAATCTTATTTCTAAGGCAGTTTTCAAAAGTAATAAAAAATAACTTTTGATATGTGACCTTCTAGTGTCACACTTGAAGTATGAAGTTTAAATGCATGATAAGGCAAGCTTATAATAGAAACGCTGTCATGTACGGGCAGAATTCCCAGCTATATCAAGTTGCATAAAACAGATTTAACAAAGCAGCAGCATGTTTCTGGTGACCACCTTGGCAGTCTGAATGAAACTAATCTGACCCACAGAAATTGATATCCACTTGCCACACACTACATAATAGACAGAGAAAGATTAGGATTACAATGATGCAAAATGTTATCTTATTCACTATTTAATACACAAATTGTATCTCTGAAGACCCTCAGAGAACTGGAGATCTCTGGAGTGCCTCTCACATTCACACCACTACAAACAGGTTCAGTAATTTTTATTGCATGGGTTTTCTTTAACTGTGATGGGATTAAAAAAATGCCATCCCTAAAAGACTCTTACTTATTTCTTCAAACACAAGTGCAGAAAAAAATAAACTGACAAGAAACTGATTTTTATGGAATAGGACTTCCCAATAGCATGCCATACTATACTATTAATAACTTTGACCAGTTTGAGATATTCCAGCTTCCCCTCTGCTCAAACTATTAACTCTGCCAGGGTTGTTTTTTTGTTTGTTTGTTTGTTTTGAGGAGGTGGGGAGGTGTTGGTCATTTAACTTGCTATGTTTCTGTAATTAGAACAGGTTTATATTTCTACCAATCAGTTAAATAAACTTCCCAGTATCACTTTTAGAGGCATCTATCCAGTGCTTGTCTGTGAATATGTAGATGGTAGTGCCATTTTACCTACATCTTCTAGCACAATCACAAAGAAGGTCTGGCAATTACAGCTTCTCTTTGAAGAAACCTAGCGAGCTGAAAGACTTTCTCCCAAAATACAAGGGAAAGTGCTTAAAACAAGTGTTTAATGCCATTTAGCTTTTGGAAGGGCAAAGAAAACAAACAGACTTTTGGAGAACTCAGAATAGAGGGAAGACAGTACAAAATACACTAAACAAATAATCACAGTCACATAACAAAGGCTTGTTAGAACTCATTTTAAAATGGACCTGGCTTAACGTGTTTACATGAACAATGTTTCAACTCTTAAAGCATCTTAAGCCCTGCCTCTGATTAATTTATTAATAATCACAATGATCTTGCAACAACTGGTAACTTCAAAACCATCCTACAAGTAATCATGTGCTTTCCACTTTTAGTGCTATAAGTCCTACAACTTGGATGAGAAATAAAACATCACAATTAAATAATTTTAAATTATTCAATGAGGAAAAAACAAAATTGTTTTGATATTAAACAAAAATCGAACATGAATATGACAACTAAATTATACTGATTATTCTGATTATTCGTCCTGTTTGTACTTGCCTAGCAACACTTTAGCATCTTCCACATCAAAATCTCCATCTCCATCAGCATCGTATATCCCAAGCTTGCCTAAAAACAGAGAGGAAGAAGAGAGAATTTGGAATTCATCAGCTTGTTTCCAACATGATGTTTTTAGTGCATAATGGCTGATGGTCAACACTAGACTGATACGATATCGTTTTTGATTATTTAATCTTGCCTTAACCACATTTTAAGTTTCCTGGAAAATACTACAAATATTTTTACTCCCTTTCTTCATTTCATAGACTTCAGACTGAATACTTGTTGGTCTTTCTGCATGCTTTTAATTCAGTGCTCATAGGTTTAAAACAAATACATAATTCAGTGATGCAATTTAACTCAATATGCTTTGCTCAAAAGCAAATCTAACAGTCACCATGTTTAAGAATAGAAACAAAATATTAAAACAAAAGTTAATCAAATAACCACCACTTATTTTCAGATTATATGCTTCTTGCAATTCTAAATTCTCAGAATTAAGATACACCCACAATTTTATTTTCAGTGCTAAGATAATAGAAGGAAAGCAACATACTTCCTGGACAAAGAAAGAACATTCCTAACTATCAACAACTGTATTACATTCAGTGCAGACAAAATTTTGTCCACTTTTTTACATGTGACTAAGAACAGACATCTTGCTTTTACTCTGGTAACTGCAGCTCTACCAGCCTTAAATATAATCAAGAGGAGAATCCAGTTTCTCTTCAAAAAGAATTTTTAGCATAGGATTATGGTATCCAGGATTATAAGTGTCTTGGGATCACCAGGTGAGTAGAGAGCTAATTAGCTCTAATAAAATTCAAGCTTAACTTCAAATAGGATAAAAACTCTTTGCACTTTTTGCAGAACTCTTATTCCTTACAGTTTGCCAGCTTATTATTAAATTTGTCCCTCTCTAAATGAAGGCAGAACATGAGTGCAAGTACATTAAATGAAATATAGTTCTTAATATGATACTTATAAAATTATTAAACAGTTTTGTGAAAGAAAAAATTCAGCAATAGGTCTAGACTACGCAAAAATAAGGTCATTACCATTGCACCAAAGCTACCAATTAGAAAAGATCTTTATTTACTTAAGGTTAAGCACAATAAGTGGAATAAATAGACTATAAGTATACTAAAAATAAAAAGAACAGTATCACATTCAAAAACAGGGCAAAGAATTAGGAAGACGAAAAATGACTATCATGGCATTATAGGAGAACAGTAAATTTTTAAACATTAAAACAATTTCTAGCCAAGGGACAGAAAGGCAAGTTTATTTCTCTAATATCCTACCTTGTAGTACCTCTGACAAGTTATAACGGAAATCCTTTGCTTTGGCTGCATGCATGGTAAAAATATAGAAACCATTATTTGCATCACTACACCTAATTAAATTTCAAACTAGAAGCTTCTCTTAAAATTAGTCCAGATCAAAAATGGTGTACCAACAGACTCATAAAGCTGTAAAGCCTGTAAAATCACCAGTTGTAAAACTGCACTTTGAAACCTACAACATAAGGTCTACCAATGGTCATACATCTTGCAAGTTGAAACATTAATTGCCATCCTTGGATACTATATAAACAACACTATCTTATTGTCATATTGAGATACAATTAGCACTGTTACAAGCTTAAAGCTGAGGTCATTCAACAGCACATTCACAAGATGACAACCGATTGTCCCGACACTATAGCCAACAGTCCATGAAAGGAACAGTAACAGGATTAGCCACCTACTTTCAAACAACCCTCTACTGCAAGTTTTGAAAGCTTAAATTGGAACAAGGCATCTTAAGCTGAAGTTCCAATTGAATTGCTGTATACATTACAAAAAGATGAAGATCTATCCTTGAAGTTTTCTTCAATTCTTAAATGCATCAAGTATTTCAATAACCTCCTTCAGTCTTATGAGAATCCCATCTTAACATCAGAATAGAGTTCAGAATTAAAATGTACTTTCTGAATTACATTGTGTATTCTTATGTAGGTCACTTGCAAACACCGCAGTAATCAATTCAGCTAGCTAGTGAAGCACTGCTCTGTAGCACTCACATGAAGCATAATAGTTGGTTTCCTATCTGAAATGCAAAATGGCATCCATTTAAGGCACGTCACAGTATGTTTGAAAGGGCTTTTAAGATTTAAAATTCTTACCTAGTACTTCTTCATAATCTACAAGTTCAAACCAGACAACTGCTACTGATGTCCAAACTCCCAGCAAAGCAATTACCATAAACCAAGTGAAAAATGAGCTTCCAGAGAGGCCTTCTTTCTTTCCATTCTTGCTTCCTCCATGCTTAGTCTCTGTTAAAATAAGGCAAACAAATTAAAAAAATGGATTTGTATACAAGTTATAAAATTATGCTTACGCATATAATTATAAATCTTGTGGGTTTCTTATGACTTGTAGGTGTCATATCACTGTGAATTCCAGTGGAAAGCTTAATGGTTATCTAAGTGGTAAAGCCTCTATAAGCAACAAAAAAAAACAAAACACAGGTAGTGTGTTTAACAGCTTAGTTAGAAATCCCCTCCTTCTACCCCTTTGGTGTATATTTACACAAAGCTTAACATTTTTGAGATGTTTTGCATTTGTGCCAAGCCTTCTCAAACTGCCACCAGAGGGCAATACAATCAGCAGTAACACTTCTAAGCAAAAGTATTTATTCTAAAGCAATGAAGACTTTCAAAGCTAGTTAGTACTGACAGAGTTCATGAAATGAACGTGAAAATTCAAATAGCATAAGAATCTAAAATCTAAACCATATTAAAGGTAAAACTTCAAGATCAGGCACTCTAGTAACTAAAAACATCTCCCATGCTTCTTGGAAGTGTTTGGAGATTCACTACTACTGAGTACTTTACGACTTCGTGACCTGTGGAACATGCAAGTAAAAGTATGACAAGGGCTGAATGCAAACCACAGATTTGTCTCTAATAGCACATACAGGAGTCAGTGTACATAAAAGACGTGGTAGTTTTAAACAGACCACTGGGCCAACCTAGCTGTAGGGGCAGAGGCGTTCAAATGCACACCACCAGTACAGAAGACAAATTGCTTGGTCCAATTTAGGATCAGTTTAGGTAAAGATGGAGCAAATGTGCATCCAAACAGATGTCTGCTGCTCTTCACCAGAGCTCATGGTCTGTTCCTCTTCTTGCTGATATTTACTGCTGCAAGGCACTCAGCTGCAGTTCTATGTTAACCGGCCTCACTTCATTCCCTTCAAGCACCACCTTTGCCCATTCAGCCACATTCAAGTCCCACGGCTAGGGCAAACAGGGTCCAGCAATCCGTGTCCAAGTTGCAAACTGACAGCTGTCACGATTTACTGACTCTTCAAAGAAAACAAAGAAACTCCCTGAACTCTGCCCATCAACCACATTAAAAATATTGTTTTTCACTCTGCAGATAATGATGACCAAATATCTTATTATAGATATAAAAAGAAATGCTCTCAAGCAAGCATAAAATTAAGTAAAAATGTTAAAAGAAACTGAGCATGAACAAAAAAAAAAAAATCCAGTTTCAGGTACAAAGACAGAAGGCTGAGAGCTCAAATCCAGAAAAGTAAGTATTAGTTGTTGTACTAAGTCACAGGTTGTTTTTTTTTTGTTTGTTTGTTTGTTTTTAAAGTGATTCATCTGAAGCTCAAAATTCACTGTTACTCTTAATGTTTTCAAAATAAGTTCTTAAAACGTCACATCATGTTTATGATGCATATAACTGAAATTTTATTTTCAAATAGAGAAATTTCATTTAAAATAATGACCTTATATATTAAAAAAAAATCAAATGCAAGACATATCTTTAAAAATATACTAAATGATAGCAGTGACTCAAGCAAGAAAATATTCTCAATATTTCCCTTGCTAGACTTCCCAAAATTAAAACAATAAAATTAGAAGCAAACAGTAACTATTTTGATCTCGACCATATACATGTACATGCACTTCAAAATCACTGGAGCATTAAAATACTAAGATGAACATAGTTTACATTTGGTTAATTTAGAAAAGTTATCTAACTTTTGAGAGGTGGCTCATTTCAAAGGGGCAAAAAAACAGTTGAAAACCAATAGTTCAAGCTATTTATTAAAGTAAAACTATTTCTTGCATTCTTCAAAAATACTGTAACTATAATAAAATAGGGAGTTAACTTTATCATACTAATTGCCAAAAAACGTTTGTCAACACTGATCATGGAAAAAGACTAAAATACCCTGAACACCTAAGTATTACCAGGATTCCTCCTTACAATAAAAGGGAGTAGCTTTTTAGAGATAAATAATGAGAAACTAGTGGCTTATTTCCCTATGTATCAGATATCATATAGAAGGACTTTCGGACCTTGCTTTTCACCAGGTTCATAGCTGTTATGAACTTACCTTTTATTACATTTATTGTGCTATGTACCTAGTTCAGAGCAATAAAAAATAGCTGGCTCACTTCAGCCCTTACTGGTGCAGCATTTAATTTTTAAAAATATTTTGTTATTACTACTATTATAAAGATCAAATACCAAATATTTAGTTTACTTTCTATACTAACAAAATTTCCTTTGTATAGACCACCAATAATATTCACAAACTGACAACTTAGCTTCATCCCATGCATGTCTCACTTGCTAATATACAGTACCCTAATTATATGTACACAAAGTTATGATAAGTTCTGTACTTCTCTCATGTAAGAAAGATGTACAAGCACCTTGAAAATGCATGCAGAAGCAAGCAGCATGTGATAATGCATTCATAATTTTATCAACTGTATATGAAAATTGCTTAAACCACCCTTGAACTGGAAATTTTAATATTCAAAAATCAACTGTGTAATAGCAGAACTTCGTTACACCTGTGTTCCAGTGAAGTCAATGGACACGTACATATATTTTAAAAGGGACCACTAGCCAAAAACATTTTAAATTATTCCAGGTTACAACTTTCTTCTAGAGCAAACTAGAGGCAAAAAGAAAGGAGCATTTTACTGTATTTCATACTTATTTATCTTACTTTACTCGTTCTGTACTTTCCTGCTATTTGCCTATGGAGAAACGGGTTTTATTTAATAGAAGAGAGGAATAGGAAAATGGAAAAAAAAAAAACGCATTTTAAGTAATTAAGTGTAATTGTTCTTTTTCTTTTTTTATCTCCATGAAAATGGCTATCACATTGTTCCATGAAAATCCCTTAAACAGATGCTGTTATAAAAACATCTTTCTCAAGTCACGAAAACGCATTTTTATGCTGTGCCTTCCTACCTTACAGGCATTTTATTTCCAAAATTCTTGACTAATTCTGCTAAGAATTCAGCCACAGCAGCTTTACCAGGTAACGCTAATTTAAATGGAAGTTATGTAACATAAAATTCATGTGATCTCCTACAGCCAAGCACACACAGACCAAAAAATTGCGAGCCATTACAGAAGACTGCCTCTGGCTGAGAACACATTCCAGACCGCTAATTCTAAATTCAAGTCCTTTCCCTGCATGTGCTGCCGGCCATGTCAAAAGTAGGTCACCTTCCATATCTGGTAAGCTTTTGCTTACACCACCAGATGGCTTTATGCAGACATAAAGTCTTAAATTGTGCTGCACGCCTCACCAGCAAATTTTTAAAAGTCCTATACCTCACTCATCCAAATTAAGAGTCCTGCTTAGATAACAACAATAAAGCCACATTAAAAAAAAAATATCTCTTTACTTTAGCTTAGCAAGACACTTTGCAATTTGGCATACTTCAAAAATAACTCAAGTCATATTTGCATACAAACCAGTGTCTCTTACACATTACTGTGTGTTCTACTCATGCAAAAAATAAATTATAATTAAGCATCTGCCAGAAACCCATGAGATATCTCTACTTCAGAAAACATTTAATCAAAAACAGAGGCAGTCTGTAACAGACTCTAACAGCAAAGTGACTAGAAAACACCAAGATACCACAGCAAGCTACTTATTTTGCCAATTACAAAAGTGAACATAGCCAGTATTTACAACCATGCATTTTTTGTTTGCTCACAAAAAGGTTAGGATTGTACCTGTGTCATCAGCCATAACATTAGCGTTTGATTTCCAGACAAAATGAGCGTGTCGGTATCTCCAAAAAGTAATGCTGAAGGTAGAATAAGAAGTGATTTATCTTCACTGTAGTCTTGCAACAGGAGCAAACAAGTTGCTTAAAGCTAGCTCAGCTGGAACCCGAAACTGGACCTAAGTGAAAACTCTCCTCCAAAAATCTATTTTTAGAGCAGTTATCTTCATGAGCCAAACACTTTTCAGAACTCATATGGCAATCTAGTTCTGACGACAATCAAATTCACTTACTCCTCTTAACGGAGCATCCTGGGTAGTTGATCCTTTCCCCTCCCCTTAATCCCTAAACGTCACGCATAGCAGCGAATGAAACCAAACACGTGGTACCATAGCACTTTTGCTCCAGTATGTGCTGCCTCAGTGCCCGAGTTCTAAAGGCGTTAAATCCACTAGCACAAGCTGAAACACAAGTCTGGACACAAAGCTTGCCTGCTTGCATTTGTTAAGCTGGCCCTCACCCAAGAAACTTTCCCCATGTTGGCAATCCTCTAGCAGGCTTCCCTCCTGTTCTGCACAGACTGATCATTTGAAACTTGCTAACCACTTTAAAAGACAGCTAATTTCTCAAATGTAGCTTCGAGTTGTCTAAGAGTTACTTGAAATCAACTAGGCACATTCTTGCTAAAGAATTTTTAGATCAGAACAATTCCCCTACTGCACCTCATATTGCTTCTAGCAGACCCAAAGAAGGGATACTGACAACTTTGCCACAGCAAAGCCTGTTTCCTTGTAGTACAACGCAGGGGAAGGTAAAACAGGCAAAATTTCTATTGTATTATTTGTTAAAAGCAGCTGAAGTGTTGATTTTGCTTTGTTCCCCCTTCCCAAAAAGGATTAATGAACTCTGAAATTCTGACAACATGCACACTACCTTCACAATTTAAAGCTAACAAAAAATTAACGACCAGCATACCGTTTTCTTCCTAAGGGCCAGAAAAGAAGAGGAAGAAAAAAAAAAAAAAACAAAACACTAATACACTATTCAACATATTTACCTTTGTTATTTTAGCAAACTATTTTTCCCCCCTACTGCATTTCAAACCAAATGCAGCTCCTTTTGAGGAGGAGAAACCAACTCAACTCTCATTAACAGTAGTCCTGATGAAAGCATTAGTACCTAGCATTTTGCCCTTCCTCCTTCACCCTTGTTTAAAAATATGTAAAGGGTTACAGGTACTTGGAAAAACATCATATACCTCCTGGGGTTTTGAGATCCAGCAACTAACTAATCCCCAAATGCAACTCTAAGTAGCTTAAGAGAGAACAAAGGTGAGAAATAACTCTCAAGTGAGTTTTCAAAGGGATGTAAAGAAAGTACATGTAGTTTATTCTATAACCAGCATATCTTAACTTTTTTTTAAAGCCACACGAATACAAAAGAACAGGTGCTTTAACAAAGACCTTCTGACAACTATGTTCCAGAAACATATATGATGCACAATGGAGTTATAATAAAATAGGAGGAAAAATTAAACAAAGGGGAAAATTTTCTCAATAAATGTTGAAATCAAAATGATTCCTCTTAATCATTTCCTCTTAATCATGAAGTAGGCTTCAACTTCAACTAGATTGCATCTGCATTTACAGATACTGTATTTCATTACAAATGGATCTACAGAACATACAACTCTGAAGTCCACATCACATATATATATATAAATACATATATATATATATTTTTTTTTTATTATTTTTTTTGGGGGGGTGGAGGGTTACTTTAGAACTAGAGTCATATAATATCCTGAGTTGGAAGGGACCCACAAGGATCATCGAGTCCAACTCTTGGCTCCCACAGGACCAACCCAAAAATCACACCATGTGCCTGAGAGCGTTGTCCAAACGCTTCTTGAACTCCAGCAGCTCAGTGCTGTGACCCCTGCCCTGGGGAGCCTGTCCCAGTGCCCGACCACCCTCTGGGTGCAGACTTTTTCCCTAACCCCCAGCCTGACCCTCCTCTGTCCCAGCTCCATGCCGTTCCCTCGGGTCCTGTCGCTGTCCCCAGAGAGCAGAGCTCAGCGCCTGCCCCTCCGCTCCCCTGTGAGGGAGCTGCAGGACGCCATGAGGCCTACCCTCAGCCTGCTGTGCTCGGGGCTGAACAAACCAAGGGACCTCAGCTGCTACTCATACACCTTCCCCTCTAGACCCTTTGTAGCCCCCCTTTGGGTGTTCACTGATAGTTTTATGTCCATTTTATGCTGTAGCACCCAAAACTGCACACAGTGACAATCCCTTCCCTCAACCAGCCGGCAGTGCTATGCCCGATGCATCCCAGGATACGGTTGTCCCTTTTGACTGCCAGGGCACACTGCTGGCTGATGTTCAGCTCACCAACAACCAGACCCCCGAGGTCCCTTTCTGTGGGGCTGCTCTCCAGCCTCTCATCCCCCAGTCTGTACGCAGAGCTAGGGTTGCTCCGTCCCAGTGCAGAATCCAACACTAGCTCTTGTTAAACTTCATATTTATGGTGACTGCCCAGCTCTTTAATTTGTTAAGACCTCTCTCCCCTTTACAGAGTCAGCAGCTCCTCCCAATTTAGTGTAATACACAAACGTAATATACCTTCAAGTCCTACATCCAAGTCACATATGAAAACAATAAAGAGAACTTGCCCTTAGAGCCCTGGGGAACTAGATCTAATCTGGTTGATCATTGATAAGCAGTTGCAGCACACCCTTGTCTCATTTCCTTCAAAATGAAATCAAGTATATTCTGGGACAACTGCACAATGAATAACAGCAGAGAGTGTGAAGACTGTCTAGAAATTAATTTCAAGTGTGCACTCCTGATCTGAACAAACACATTAACATGCATGTGTTGACCTTTAGCAAAGTATCCGCAGCTTTACCTTGTGACATTTAAACTGATTACAAGAACGGGTATTCCCTGAATGGCAAAAATATTCCTTCCTGAAAAGAATGCTACAGCTAAACTTGGGAAACTCTTCAGACTCATCAAAAGGAAGAAGGACCAAAAGGCAGCACACCTGAACTAATCAGACTCACGATGAACAACATACATTAACACTTACTAGTTAATATAGTTTACACATTTCTAAATAGTGTAGTTTTAAACATAGTTATAAACACACAAATTAGTGTAATTTTGCTTAGTATTACCCAAGAAAAAAGATAATTGGATATTTAAAACAAAATTTGAGATTGGGATCAGCTGGGTTAACAGCACAGACTTCTTGCACATGAAGAGAAGGCTGAGTGTCAGAAAGTGGTTACCAAAAACTAGATAAAGAGCTAAGTGCTAACCTCAGCAGAAAAATGTATCCAAATGTAGCTTCGCAGAAGTAAGAGTTATGTCAGATGATGTGCAAAATTTAATATAATCTTGGTTTAAAAAAAAAAAAGATAATAAAGAGCAATACTAAAAAGCGAGAGAAATAAAAATCTGAAGTAAACTACAGTAAAAAAAACTACCCTACCACTAACAGAGATGAATCAGTAGCAATGAATATATAGAAAATAACTGCATGGCTGAGTACTGTTTGACATTTTTGCCAAACGACCTTATCAAATAAGATTAACAGATAAAACAACTATTGCAAACCATTTTCAACAATAAAATTGTAATTACTTTGCAGTGTTCACTTTTTTTTTTAAAGGTGGGGTCCAAGTATTTTGAGTAAAAAAAAAAAAAAGGAAGTTTACAGCACTGTCTGTTGATACTATTCTCACCCTTCATATTAAAATATATTTTTTTTGTCTCATTACTGAGATACCTCATGTATTTCTGTATGCATACATCCATTCAAATATATAGACATATGTATATACACACCATATAATTTTTTGTGAATGTATTTTAAGATCTAGACAAGATGTATGCTCAATGAGAACTTCACAGACTTAAGAGTGCAACACATAACAATTACAAGTTAATTAAGTAAAATTGATTTTAATCTTAAAGTTTTATTCAGTGTACCTAGGGTGGTAGTAATACATTTTTAATGGACAAATCTGAGCTTTTGATGTTCTTTAACAAAATGTATTTCAAAAATGGTGAGAGGGTTGGTGTTTTGTCTGTGGTTACTTCTAATGCTTTTAATAAACGCAATATAAACTCTTTGTAATAATAAAAATATCTTTCTGGTATCTAAGAAATCTTCAGCACTGCAACCTTGGAAAAACATGTTTTTCTCTGATTATCTTTATCTCTGCTCTGCACGTAATATACCCTTGTCTACATGATTGCAGATACTTGTGCGTGTTATCAAAGGCCTATTTAATGAACTAAATCAGAAACCTACTAGTTACAAAAAGAGAAACAGATTGAACAGAAAATGGTATGATTCAAAGGAAACATAAAGACCAGGACTTAAAGTTGAAATAATAAATTAGTCAAATGAAAAGTAATTTTGTCCCTCTGGCACCCACTTTCCAGATTTTTGCTGAAGTGTATGAGGAACTTTTATGCATTTGATATATAATCAATTCTCATATAAAACTTTAAATTCCTTATTTTTCAGTCCCTACAAGATTTGTTAGAGTAAACTAACCAACTGAATGAACATTCAAAGAAAAGCATAGGATTACTAAGTCAAATTGGAGACTCAACAACTAAGCAGACTGATCAGAGATACTGATGGTAGTCTAATTAAAGAAAAAAAGCATCAAAAGCATCACAAAGCATGTAGAAACCTCTAGGACCTGCTGGACTGCAGGAAGGCTCCTTCTTTGCCTAGAGGCATTGCCATTGCAGCATCACTCGAACTCAGCACTTAGGCAGGATGTCAGGGAGTTGAGGCACAAAACACGGTTTTTTAGCGTGCCCGAGAATACAAGGACAAAACTATTAGTCCTTCACGATGAAGCTGCTCATTCTTGTAGTCAAATTTTAAGCAATGAGAACAAAAATCTGTAGGAGAAGAGCTGTGTGTAACAAAAACTGAACCCCAGTTTCTCCCCTCCTTTCCAGGTAAGACAGACAACTTTGGACCAAGCTGACCTACCCTCAAGTTCACTCTCAGCAGGCTGAAACACTGTTTCACATTGGATTGGAACAGTTTCAACTATAAGAGTTTAGACATACACTCTCACTGCTGTTCAAGCATATCCCATAAACAAGCAGCTGCAGCACTTAAACTCAACCAAAACTTCCTCAAGGAAGAAAATTGAATTAAATGTTTTTCTGCCCTATCCCAAGTGAGAGCTCCAATTCCCAAAGCATTGCACTGAAGTAAGAAACTTCCCTGTTCTACACAGAATCAGATCTGCAGTCCGATTATC